GTCATCTTTCTGCTCAGCCTCATCAGTCTAATAGCTGTAAGATGCCACAGGACAGACGGCTCTTTCAGCAGGTACAGCGCCCCAATGATCACCACCCACCCTGACGGGAGCTGGTCTTACTCCAAAGCTACTCAGCAGTATGACGTGTGTTTCAGCTCAGACACGCTCAAGAGTGATGTAGTGGTTTTCCCTGCACCGTTTCCACCTGTAGATGGTGAACTGATCAGTATTAATGGAGGGGACACGTTTACCAGAACTCAGACTTTACCCAACAAAGAAAAGGTATGTTATATGTGCTGAATGCCTGTGAGATATAACAATGCAACCTTAAAAATATAATGTAGTTTCTGTCTTTTGAATCTCACAAACTTTATGTATTGTGTCAAACAAACATCATTCATGAGTCAGCATAATCCTATCACTCACTCATACATTATCACACATGTAACAGCACCACATAGAACTTCTCACAACAGGTCAACCACACTTCAAGGATTGGACATGTTGAAGACTTGTACCAGAAGCTGTTAGCCAGTTTTCACCCTTACAGCATTTTAACTCTGTGCTTTCTATGTTAAGCAATCTGTCCTAAAATGCAACTTCAATCACTTTTGAAGTAACGAGCTCATGTGTGATAGTAAGACAAAATGAACAACTTCACCCCTGTGGTATTGGACGCCATCCTTGTTGCATTCTGCTACTAGTCAGCTGCTTTTCTGCCAGTTGAAAGAATGTGAGTGGTTTAAATAACATAGGTGGTTTTGTAACTGAATTGAAACAACATTTTTGGGGGTTCTGAGCCTAAAACCTTGAGTGTATCTGTAATGTGTCATTCTGCTGAGATTTTCAAGGTGTTTTAAGGTTCATTGTAGTTCAAATGTGCTATCCGTGGTTCTGAATATTGTGTTTATGTTTGGTTTCTATACAATATTGTTGCGAAAAATAGTTATATCTATTGTAGGTATGAAAAAAATCCTTGTATTTGAATCCAAGTAGTTTTCTTTACAAATGTGTTACATTATCTGAAAGTTGCAAAAGCTTTCTTATTCACAGAAATATTTAGCTTTCCAATCAACCCCGGTTTGTCTCACATTATTATGTTTTTTACATAGTAAACCCAATAATTCATACCATTCCCAATTACTTCAGCGATTTGGAAACGTGGTACACAGTATTTTATGTGGTGACCAGAGATTCACCACATGAGGTCGCAGGAGACCGTAGACTTGAATTTATTTGTACATCCAAAACTCCTCCTCCCTGCGTGGAAAAAAATAATTCCTCCTCGGTCATGAGCACATCCGCGGAAGATGCTGTGACGGGAAAGGCAGGAGCTACAACAGTACTTGCCTCGGATGGAAATATTTCTATTGCGGATAAATGATTATTCGGATTTACTTCTTTTGGTGCATCAACAATGAATATGCGACGACAAAAGGAATACGTCTGGATCCACATTGTTGTGTTTCTTTGTCTTTGTGACTGGTCTGCGTCGCAGTTATCCTACTCGATTTCCGAGGAGGTGAACAAAGGCACCGT